TATTTACCTTTCTCTGTCTTCAATACTCATCATCTGATGATTTCTCTGCTACATACATCATCTCCCTCAACTCCGACAATGGTAAATCGCTGAATACGATCTCACTAACTCGCGCTTTTCGTGCTGAGCTGATGAAGTAAACGTTAATCAAGCTAGAAATATTGATCCTGAGATTCATCGCAGTTACCGTACTGATAGTATGAGATCTAAGATGCCATACAAGCTCACACAATGGAGGATACTATGGAACACAGTTAGACAAGCACGTGTGCACATGTGATTGCGTGCACTCAACTCGTGAAACTCGTTGTGTTTGAAAAACTGATCTTGAAACTCGAGGTCGACCCTAGTATGGGATTCTCAGGGTTGATCAAGACCATAAGCCAGTCCTAGGAATGATTTTGAGACTTGTCTCGGGATCTATCTTCAAAACGATCGTGACCGACCCTACGAGAAGTCTCACGGACAGACTCGTGTATTAAGAGTGGTGTACGCAAGCACATGTACACACGTGCTTGTCTTAAAGTGTTTAATTGTATCCTAAGCTGTGTGAGCTCGAATGGTATTTTAGTTGATCACACTGTCGTCACTGCAACTGCGTAAAACCACGGACTCGGTATCTCTAGACTGATGGATGTCGGGCTTATCACTCCAGTAGACAAAGTGCGTGTTAGTAAGATCGTATTCAGCGATTTACCACTGTCGGAGTTGAGGGAGGTGACGTGTGTAGCAGAGGAATCATCAGCTGATGAGTATTGACCCAGAGAAAGTTAGTTATGAGTAAACGCATGATCCACAGCTCGGTAATGGCCAAATTGCTCCACTCGGCATCCGAGCTTACTAGCCTTACCCAAGAACTCGGAAGCCTGAGAACCCAAGTTATGGCTGAGTGGTTCAAATGGACAGCCATAAATCTGGTCCGACTATCGAGTTGCTGAGGCTTACCATCAAGGGCGACATGTGCGATGGGTGGGAAGGAGTTGAGGTCATCAAGAACAACTCTCGATCCTTCTGTGTGGAACGGTACATTGCCGGTGCTGCGGAAAAGTTCACTGGGCGGTGTTGTCCCCGTCAGTATGACCCTGAAAATTCTTAATGATATAAGCTGGGGAAGACTATGAAGGTGTTGAATACGCTACAACAGAATATAAGGAGAGGTGAGGAAGGGCACTTATTGAGCTTACATCTCCGTGATGATCAATCTATCAGGGTCAGCATTCGAGGTGACGATCTTGCCAGTAAAGTGACCAAAGCTGCCTACGTTGTCATCGAGCACGAAGGTGCCAATTGGAGGTGGTCCCGGAGGTAGAGTGGTGGTGGTTGTTTGAGAGGGGCTTAGAGTCGTGGTAGCGATAGCAGCAGATGTAGTAGTTGGTGTGGTCGTAGTGGTTGTACCACCTAAAGCGAGACAATGAGGGAAGTTGACCCGAGTGCTTGCCTCACCTCTATTGTTGCTGCTGCATTCTTCCCAGAGGACAGAATTGATGATGGCAATAGCGAAGAGAAGGAAAATCTTCATTAAGTGTATCAATGAAGCTTAAGAAGGGCAGTTAGATATCCTTAGTCGCTAAGTGATAAAGATTCCGGCTCAAACAACTGAAGGCGTCGCGTCTCGTACGCCCACAGATGTATCTTGTGACGTAACTTGAATTCTTGGGATGTCGTATTAAGCACGAGCCTGCGACATTCTTGCGAGCTGGAGGTGCTCCATCGCTACCAACAAAAGATATGTGGGCGAGACTGCAGCCAACATTACTGGTATCGGCAAACTGGTAGCGCAAATCGCACTGCATTTGTGGGGTGTCAGTCGTGTGCTGGCAGTGTCTACCGAAGGCGGAAGAACATTTTTGGTGTGTCGATACGATAGTCCGACACCACTACATATGTGTTACCACACGCAGACATATGTGCATGTTACGCCTACAAATAGTCCGGTAATCGGACTCCGATTAGCGCTAGTCTACTGGTGATGGACGCAGTAGAATTTTCGTCGCTTTAAATCAAGTTGTCAGTGACAAGGCTGAGATATAAGTGACGGCCCATTGACCAGTTCGGGTCAGTGTCAGCAGAATGCTTATAATCCCTCGCTACCATATCAATCTTTCGAACGAAGAGGCAGTTTCATGGCTCTGGGTTGCCCAGTGTTGCAAAATATGTTCGTTTTCTCAAGCTGAGTTGAAGAATTCTCTCACTGATCATAGAAGTTCATACACGAATTAAGATTGAAATATACTATAACCACTGATAACTTTCCAAACTTACCTGATAGTTTATATATTGTCACTAACATATGTCGTTGACCATGTGCATATTTTCCCACACTAGGGTTGCCTTTGATCGTATGAGATAGGCTAAGATACTCTCACAGTGAGACAGGGTGTTGCTAATGAAAGAGCTTCACTCAACAGAGTGAATTCATACCCTTCTCGGCCTGCTTGCCCATACGGCGGCAACCACCGATGAATCTCGAGAAGTTAGCCATTCCAGTTAGAGTGGCCTCACTGTTGATGTCTTTCCAGGCAACCAAGCATGGCCTCGAAGCATCGTTATCTTCCAAGTGCTTGAGAAAATTATCAGCAATCTGGTTACTGATGTTCCTTGGCGCTACAAAACATGAACGTGTTAGTTGTATAGGCGCTGGGCCCAACAGTTGCCTGGGATGTCTTGTCCCATACTCATGAGTAATCCCAGGATCGATGATATACCTCAATCAACATTGATGTAGACTTGTGACTACCGCGACGGGACTTAATGCTCTAAGCAGAAATGCATGATGCACTTTAACTCGATGCATTGTGCATCAATGAATTCTGGGCCCCAGAATCTGGGGCCGTATGCGGATCCTGATGCAACAGGTGAGTCAGAGTATTTACTCAGATGAAAAAATCAGATGGTGAGTAATAACCCCTGATTCACTGATTTTTTACTCTGGAGCGAGAAATCAGGATCATCGCGAGGATATCTGGATCTCTGAGATTATTCGAGGATCTAAAGTTGATTTTTTTGCTGAATAATACTCTTACTCAATATGCCTTGCTTTAAGCACCCGAAAAATCAGCCTCATAAGCAAGTTGCTTATGAGGCTGATTTTTCGGGTGATTCCATTGAATCTGAGTATTTTCGAGAATCAGGGAATCAGAGGTTGAATCAGACATTTTTGACAAGAAGAAGATTGTAGTCGCTGCGCCCCAGAACCGAAAGTGACAATTTCAAAAAAGGCAGAAAACGTCACTCTACGAAGGTAAAGTCTGGTAGATTCGCCCCGAATGCATGCACATTTCCCGTTACGCTACAACAATGATAAAATTTCGGAAGAAGATCTTTTGTCGCACTTGCACACATCCGTAGTTCAAACTTTTCAATATGTTCACTCGGAATCAACTAACTCTGGGTTTCTAACTCAGAAGTTCTAAGAGGAAGCTCAGCGCTATAGCTTCCTTCTCGAGCTTCTAGAGCTTCCTTCGAGAACCGGTAGCGTGATCGGGTGTCGTTATCGGACAATCCCTCAAGAGGATCGACGAAGGGCATTTATTGTCTTCATCAACAATTAATTGACATGAGGAATGCGTAGTTCACAGCGTGTGGTTGCATGTACTACATGCGCTATACCTCCATACACCGTTTTGTATCGTATGTCCTCATAGCTGAACTGGTTAAGATGATACTTTCATGTGCTCGGAGCCGGTGTTCTATTCCCGGGCAAGGTCACACTGATACCCTGTATGTACTACACGCGCTAGACCTCCTTGCACCGCCTTGGATCGTATAATCTCACAGCTCGACTGGTTAAGGATTTGCTTCCACTTGGTCCAAGCCGAGGTTCTATCCCCCGGTGCGGTCATTCTAAGAACCTACTCGCAGGGAGCTGAGAAAGTCTACCGAGGCGCGCTGAAGTCGTGAATCGAGGCCGAGAATCAGAATCAGGGTTTGGTACCGGGGGTCCGGACCCCCGGTAAAGAATCAAGATTAATCCCCGTGTTAAACTGTGAGCTTGTGCATCATGAGTATGATCCCGGTTCATGCTCAAGGTCAGATTGCGATCTTGAATCTGAGCAGCTTTCAGGTTGAGTAAAAGAATCTCGACTCCTGAGAATTAATCTCGAATCATGAGTAAAAATCCCAACTCCGAGTATTTTATCTCGAATTGATGAAGTACTTTGTCTCAGTGCCAAAAACTCTGAATCAGCCATTGAGTATAGATTTGAATCTTGAATCGTGATTAAGGATCAGGACTCGGACTCAACGGCTGATTAAAATCAAGGATCAAGGATCTTGCTCATGATTACGTAATCTGACTCTGTCTCAAGTACTCATACTCAGAAATCTCGACTCTTTCTTCTAAGCTAAGAATCTGAATGAGTTCTCTCGAATCAAGGTGTGACTTGAATCATGAATCAGGATCAGAGCATGAGTTGAATCATGGACTCAGATTGATGAATCAGGATCCGCATACGGCCCCTGGGTAGAAGAACCGAG